AAGAGAAAAATACGCATTTTACTATGTTTAATTAGTAAATTTTGACGTCGTTGCATTATTTCTGATTGCCACTGTAAATTTATCAAAATATATTAAATATTGAGATGACATTTTTAATTCTAATCGAATTTTTAATAACAAGGAATTAAAATTCAACTATAAAGTAACATATAAAAAAAGCAATTATAATCCAACTAACAAGTAGCAAAGCAAATAAGAACTCTTTCTTCGATTTCTTATTATATCCATTCCATTTATACCGTAAATGGCATTCTCTAATAGTAGACCCACCTGCATTGTACCTGGTACAAAATCTCAGCTATTAACACAGCAAATTTAATAAAGTAGAAAAATTACATTTATGCAGTATTCCGTGTAATAGACTCTTGTGGATCTTTTATATAGCCATGGTAATAATGTAAATTTATAGCATAGTACACAGATTTAAGACTTGCAAAGATCGTACGACTATTCCATTTGATAACAGACACCAAGACTATGTTGTTGTCGAATTTCCATTTTTTGACGATATTGAATATATGCCAAGTATAAACGCGCGTTTTCATAGAAGTTATTGTGATGGGGACAATATTAAAGATTGTGCGTTGTGATCCGAAAAGATGCCCGAGACTAAACAAAGGGTCTAACTAGAATATAAAGTTTACGGCTAAATTTATATTTGTAATGGTTTTATTCTTAGTCTTTAGCGTTAGACTCAAAACAATGAGTTTAATAGTGTGGAGCGGTATCAAGCCGAGAACTTTCAAAGCCTCTTACGTAAACAAGAAAATATTTGAAGAATCGCCAAGAACAACAAATTTCCTATACCGATACATAATATACATAACCACTGTTTGTTTGATCAACATCTATTATATGCAAATAAAGAGAAGATCGAAATACAATGACATAAATACGTAGTCTTACAATATAGTACAACTATTTATCGAATAAAGGACAATAACATCAACGTTAAATATTTTTTTCTCTTACGGCACAAGAAAGCATAAATTGTGCGAAAAAAACCAAATCACCAAATCAAAAACATGGCATATCCTGGGCGCGAAGCAACACCAGGTACAATACTGGCATTTGGCGCGTTACTTTGCTTAGTTTTAGTGAATGTAAGTGTGCCAATTACGCCCGGAATCTATTTTCTTAATATTGTTGATTCTCAAAATGAGGATTATTTTCGAATTGGGTTATGGGGTTGGTGTAAAAATGTTGGTGGAGACGCGACGTGTTCGACAGCCAAAATTGGGTTTAAAATAGGCAAGTTTTTGTTTTGATTACGAAGTACTGCTTAGGGCGAAGTTTCTTTTCGAAAACGTAATTTTTATTGAATTTTTCTGATCGTATATAGATGAGAACGATTTTCCTTTTGGTGAGAAATTGGGTATATTTGATAAAACTATAGGGTCTGCAATAGGAATTTTGTTTCTGACTCACGCTGTCGGTAAGTTAATTTACAGTACCCAAATATCCATTTTAAATCTAAAAAATGATTTTTAATCATAATTATATTGATATAGCCGGTGCTGCTACATTAATAATGACGATTATGGGCTGTATAGGACATTTTCGTTCACAAAGAAACGGAAGAATCCTAATAAAAACCACCATAGTCTCATTAGCCGCAATAATAATAACATTACTAGCATTCATATTCGACGTCATATTCTTTATAGTTGGGAAAGTAACCATTGATAAAAACTCGGAAGCTCACGCGTCCGCGTCACTGGCAAGCGCATTCTGGATGATGGTTGCCGCGTTGACTTTAGAGGCTGTGGCGATATTGGCTTTTTTCGTGGGACACCGAACGATTGTTACTCGAATGAAAAAAGCAGAAGAGATCAAACATAAACCGGAGATGAGTGGAGAAGCATATCTGGAGCAGAAACAAGAAGAAGAGGAAGAAATTAAGATTGAGAATGCGAATAGGCCTATTGAACAGTATGCAGTATTTGAACATGAAGTGATTGTACATGATGAAGACAATAACGACAACAATAATAACAATAATGGTAGTAATAGTAATAGTAATAGTAGTAATCAGCAATATTTTCTTCCACCACCACAACAATCAGATTCACAACCATTATTACGACCTAATACAATTGCCAGTAGACCTTTACCAATTCCGCCAATATCAAATCCGCATTCATTGGCTGGAACTGTTCCAATAACACCAAATGAAAAATATGGTTCCGCGTTTCCTCCCCCTGTTCCATCTATTCCCCCTCAATATTATCAAGGATCATCTACGCCTTACACGTCACCTCCTTTTGGTCCTACAATTTCAGGATCATCTACTCCTTACACGTCACCTCCTTTTGGTCCTACACAAGTTCATCATTATCAAATGCCGATGCCAATGCCAATGCCAATGCCAACTCCCACAAATTCTACCACTCAATCAATAAAAAATTATCCATCAGAACATTCATATTTTAATAGTAGCCGTAGCAGTAGCAGTAGGAGTAGGGGTGATAGTGATATTCATACACGATCCCCACCAGCACCTTATTATTATTCATCACAGCAAGGACAGGGATTTGATCCTCATTCAAGATCAATGAGCGAAACAACCTCTCAACGACAACAAACTAGTGATCACGAGAAGGGTCATACAACTGGATGGTGATGATTTCGATGTTTGTAATATTCGCGTATTACCCGTAAAATAATTTTTGTATCTATACGCATACGCGGCAAGATTATTATTATTAACATCATTGTCGTATGCATATATTTTTAATATTTATTTAAAATGGTATGTGAACTGAATGTAATATATAACAAAATACAAAATCAACCAAAAATGGCAAATACAGAGAATAATCATTCGTTCCCACTTGCATGTGTGTATGTATGCACTGTGAATCAGGCCCCTGCTTGTCAACTAAAATCAGCACTTCAACTCCAACCTTATCTTTAAATTATTACACTACAAAAACTACATAACACGTTCCCTTCTCTATCACTCATCCTCATCCTCACCCTCACCCACACTCACTCTTTTACCTGTTTCTTGAATATTCGCTTTTAAAAAACCTTAAACAATCACTCTTTTTTCCCTTTTCACTCACAATTTAAAAGTTTCTTTCCATTAAACGCGACCTCCTGCTGCATAAATAAAACATTAATCATGACGCGGTAATTATTTGATTTTCCTTTGGATTCGTCACGCGACTTTAATTTTATCAATCATTTGTCATATGCATCTCCAAATAGGAACCAGCACTATGAAGATGATACTGCACCAACTCAATGTCTCCCTGATGCTTTTCCATTTTCTTTAAAGTATAGTTTTTTCTGTACCTGGTAGGTGTTGTGCATTAATTATTTGATTTTGGACGCGTTTTCATCTTGAAATATCGATCAAATATTTCATTCATTTGTTTTGGATCATTTTGATGGATAGTCGATCATGTTCTAATAATATTAATAAAATTTTAAAGTCTTCCGCTAGAAGAAGCCCTCACAACTGTGCCTCCTAAACCAACGCCACCAGTACAACAGCCACCATGGTATGTTCGTAACTTTTTCGGTAAACGCAAAACTGCCGCGGCTGATGCAAGACACACAGATGATAGCGTCACTCCTAATGCTTCTATGCCATCTGATGCTCTCGGAATTAATGAATTAAACCGAAATAATGCACTAGCATTTGATGATTCTTTGATAGTGTTTGTTTTGGGTAAGAATCATACATTTTCCTTGCGTGTAATTTTTTCCAGATTTCAAATTAATAGTTATTAATTTATTTTTTGAAGGTGGTCCTGGTTCAGGAAAAGGTATATTGATTGATGTGAACTATTTTTTTGCGAGAATATATATTTAATAGATTTATTTATTGTTGGACGATTTAATGGAAATTAGGCACTCAGTGTGAACAACTTGAGCAGATGTATGGTCTAGTTCATATTTCAACCGGTGATTTGTTACGACAAGAAGTGGCAAATGACACGGAAATTGGTCAAGAGATAAAAAATGCTATGGAGGAAGGAAAAATGGTTTCCAATGTAAGGAAATAATTTGCAATTTTTATTTTATATTTATTCCGAGTTATTTATCGAATTAATAATGATAATGTATGCAATTAGGATGTAACAACAAAATTATTATCACAAGCAATGGAAGCTGCAGGTCACGATGTCTCTGGATTTCTAATTGATGGTTTTCCCAGGTGAATTTGGTTATTAGGTATCTTCTAATCGGTCTACGATAAATTGCGAAATAAATCTAATCATGTTGTGTACATTCTAGAACAATGGATCAAGCCATAGAATTCGAAAATAATGTAAGAGAACATTTTCTTTATCGCTTCATTGGATGGAAAACTCTTTTGTGCTATCATTAATTGAATTACCATTCATTCTTTAGATTGGTAGTTGCACATTTGTGTTGTACTATGAGTGTCCCACGCAAGTTCTCGTAGATCGTCTAGTTAAGCGTGGAGAGACGAGTGGTCGAATGGATGATAATCTAACAAGTATTGAAAAGTACGCAAAATTTTTATAATAGCACAAGATGTTTTAATGTCAGTTTCAAAAATGATTAATCGAATTTTTGGTTAAATTAGACGTATTCAAGTTTTTGAGAAAACCAGCTTGCCGGTAATTGAATATTATCTGACGGATGGACGAGTTCAAAAAGTATTTTTCTTTCTTTAATTTTTGGCATCTCAATAATGTTATTATTAATCAAATAATTATAAATTCAGGTAAATGGAGATGCATCGGTTGAAGAAGTAACCGCACAAACGTGCTCAATTTTCGATTGGGTATTCAATGGTGGAGTTGATACATACGTCGATGAAAGTACACAAAACGTCGAGGTCGCTTAATCCTTTTTTTTAATTAGGATGGAGAGGAAGAGGGAGGGAGAGAGGAAGAGGGAGGGAAGGAAGGAAGGAGGGAGGGAGGGTTCCTTTTCTTTTTTTCCCATTGTTATTTGTATTATTTATTTTGTACTCTAATTGTTTGAAATTGTAACAACACATTACGTACCATATATCATCATCATTAACCATACACATACATAATAAATAGTTTACATTAATTCTTAGTCTATTTTTTATTTTTACTGTAGCACAAACTTCATTCATTCATTCATTATTGTACAGTTAAGTTAGTCTATTTATATAATTTAGAAATTTTTGGCGAGCATAAAGAAAGCAAAATATCGCGAGTTGCACATCATTATTGATGATACCTTCGTGACGAATACACCTTTCTTTTGGGTGTGTATGTGGTTTGTATAGTGTGTGTATGTGTGTGTAATCAAGAAAGAATAATAAATACGAGACTATAATATCATTAATTAATATATAGATGAAGAAAGAAAGAGGTAGTCATAAATTTTCTAGCCACTATCACTATTATTATTACTGCTAGTTACTCAGTATTACTATAGATTAACTACAAAGAATATTTAGCCATCGTACTTGAAGACCAAGCATTTATATATAGATGTTTTATGGAAGAGTGCATGGTTATAGAAAGTAAGAGAAATCAAGAAATGTTCTAAAGTAGAAATGATGATAAAGACTATTATAGAGAAAATAAAGAAAAGACGATTTCTGGGAATATTCACAATCAAGTAAGCTGTGCATATTTCAAGAAAAAGCTATCAATAATATGTTGATGTTTTTACCTTTATTTTTTATCCTTAGGAGGCAGTGGCAAGGGCATCCCTTTGAGGAGATTTAGATATCTTAAAAAAGATTTTTCATATAAAACGAGCACCGAATATCTTTTAAAAGGTAAGATGTTAAATAAACTTACCGTTCAGTTGCTTTATGGAACATGCTTTTACATGAAGAAGGACTGCGACCTGGCAAATTCTTGGCAGTTTCTTCCCTAATTTAAAATAAAAATACATCCAATAAAAAAATCTTACGAAAACCAATCTTTGATTGATCTCATCTCTTCTTACCAGTTATTGCCATGCTTTCGGACAGACTCGAATAATTTAGTTATTTCTTCTTGGGACCAACCGGGGGAAGATTTGCCAGACGGATGCTGACTACGGTATTTTGTTTGACACTGCGCTGGAGTTCTATCTGGAATTTCGGCAGCTACCTTTTCCCAGTTATTTTCATATTTTTTTGCGAGTTTCTCCAATTTATTGTATTCTTCTTCACTCCATCTTTTGATGGGGACGCGTCGTTCTGGATTAAGTTGAGCAAATCTGGTTTGGCATGCTGTTGGCGTTCTTCCGGGTAATCTCTCAGAGATTTCCGCCCATTTCTCAGTAGATGGCATATCTTGATATTTCTTGAAATTGGCCATTCTCATGAGCCTTTCTTTTTCTTTGTCTGTCCATTCGCCAGTTCCAACAGGCCTCTCGGGTTTCTTTTTCACGGGAGATCGGCCTTTTGCGGCAGTCTTAACTGGACGCGACAAGATAGATCGTTTGGTGCCAGTCTTTGAAGATGCGCTTGACTTCTTCGCGGTGCTAAGTAACTTACCAAGAACAGGTTGCACCTCCTTAAATTTCTTTTTACACGAATCAGGAGACCTTCCTGGTAATTTTTCCGCGATAGCATCCCACTTCTCCTTCGGGGCTAACTTTTGAAACTTCTTCAAACCCTCATACTTTATAAGTTGATTAATTTCCTTTTCGTCCCATTTTGCACCTTGTAGTATTTTAGGGGGAATAGCTCTCTGATGCTTAGCTGTTTGCCCCACGTGCGGAATAGGCGTAAAAGTAAGCGTACGCCGCCACACACCACTTCCAAACGTCAAGAAATTACCACCACGTGGAAAAACACGTAAGGTTGCTGGATTACGAGGAAGCAAGGCTCCCAACAAGGTCAATACCGTTGACGACTTCATTTTCGAGAACAATGAATTCTAGAGTTTTCTTATTTAAACGACGAAAACGCGAGGTCACTAGTTGTAATGTAACCAGTTATGCCATCATATGCGAAAGCACGCGACCAAAGCACTATTTCACGCTCACGTGTCATTATTTTATTTATATTATAAACGGATTACCCGCAGGTGGATCGAATATCCGGTGGGTCATTTGCTGAATTAGGAAATCAAATTACTCCATGATTAAGTTTTACTAATAAATCAAACATCCAAAAATAATCCTCGAAAATAAGCTATCCCCCCCAAAATGTTACAAAAAAATTAGCTTATTTTCTGATATGACACATTTTGTGATAGATATCAAAACGTAAATTACAATTGTTTAATAAAAAATATTCTTGCCACATTTTGCTATATACATATAATCCACTGCAAAATGTTTATATAATTTTTTTATTATATGATGTAACAAATCTAAACTCAACAATCATGTGATTCTGTTTCAATTGTCTGGTATTGATCATATTATCACGTTTTTGTAATTGACCAATAAAGTAATAACAGATTTTAATCATATGTAATTTTATGTTACAATAAAGTTCATAGTTTTCTGATACAACTAAACTATATCATACAATACATACTAAAAAGATAATAAAAAGATATTTAATTGTTATTTAAAATTGATAAAAATGTATATTGTTCTCGTTAATTCAAAAATGGTTGAAATTAATGAATTAACAAAGTAATATAATAGTGAAAGAACAAAGACTGAATGAATTACAATTAATGGGTTCACTAAAGGTTTTAAAGATCTCCTGTAGTAACTTGTACATAAATTAACTAAATATTATTAATAAAGAATAAAAATAGATAGAAAAATCAAGTGAAAGTTTAAAAAAAAGTAAAGAAATTAACAAATAGTTTTAAAGTGAATAACAGGACTTATTGAAGATGCCTAATGAAATAAAATAACAATTGGACTTATTGAGACTGCCAATTATAAAATATAAATAAAAATAATCAAAAATAATCAAACAGGACTTATTGAAATTGCCTAAACTAAAATAATTAAAAGTAATAATATCAATGGCTTATTTAGAGTGAAAGAGCATCCACTACTTGTAATTTCAAGATTTGAAGATAATTCACGAAAATAATAGTGTATTTACAAGTAAAATATTACTAGTAAGAACTAAAGATGAATTCTCAACTATTTAATTATATTATAATAGTTGCGTTTTTTAAAGATAGTTGTAACATAAGTGTTGCAATTAGTCGCAATTATATCATTAATGATGTCATCAATTTTGATCAATTAAAATTTGTAAAAATTTATAATTAATAAAAAAATTAATTTAAATTTTTTATTTAAATTTTTGTAACTAAAAATATAAGTATTATATATCAACTTGTAGCTAAAAATTAGAGCTAAAATTTTATTTATAAGATTAATATATTATATTTATTAAAAATTAAAACTTGACTTAAACATAACTAAAATATTTTTATTTTTAATATATAAAGTAAATGCAAATGTGTTTTTTGCTTATATTATTTAAAAACTGTGAAAATTTGCAAATATATTTTTTAGAATATTGAGAACAAGTTTTATAATATGGCAAAGTAAATTAATATTGTAAAACTTTGCAATATTTTATATCAAATATAACGAATTAAAATTTTTACATTAAATTAGAATAAAAATATTTTCAATAAGAAATATATTTATAAAACATATTTCATGATATAAAAAATATATTTGTAATTTTAAAAAAATTTAATTTCTTTTTATTTAATAAATATTATTCAATAAAAACTATTTTGATGAATTTAAATATTATTTTATTATATTTTATTAAAATTTTATTAAAATAAAGTTTTTTTTGAATGATATTTATTAAATATAAATATATTTTATATTATAAAATATATTTTCATAAAATTATTTTCAAAATTGCTTATTTAAATAAATTTTATTTAAATATTAAAAATTTTAATTTATTACTTTAATATGAAATTACATAATATATTATTATATTAATATACTTTGTAATATTAAGAAAACTTGTTTTTAATACTTTAAAGAATATATATACAAATTATTATATAAAAATTTATATATAATTATAACAATTATAATTTTTATTATATTGTTACCATAGTAACATAAATTTCTCTAATTTGATAATCTTTCTTTGATTATACGAAATTTTCTTTTTCTTAATTTTTATAATTTATCACTTGATTATCATTATTTTTATCCAATAGTATAATTATCTCACTTTTATTTTATTATCCTAAATCTTATATTTATACCTTAAATATTATATTTATTCTCTTTTTCTTATTTCTATATACTTTTATCACTCTAAATCTGAGATTTACAATTTCGATTACAAATATCCTACATTAATATTAATGTTTCACATATATAACTATATTTAGTAATACTATGTAGATTAATTAGTTAATACATTTATAGATCTCTTCTTTTATATTTCATTCCTTCTTTTATATTTCAATTCTTCTT